GGAGGAGTCAGGAAGGCTCTCTTAATAGTGGTTATATTAAAAATCCTTCAGTTTCTTCAAAGTGAAATCCAATATACTGCTTACCTCAAGTATGGGATCATATTACTATTAAATGTGGAATAATAAGGCTATTAACTTAGTCATTTATTGAATACATAAAACATACAATTTTACAACTTGGAACTGCTGCAAATAAGAGATATTCCACATGCTTCCTACTTTTTCCAAGATCAGCAATATTAAATTCCCTGAGAAAAGACAGGAATAATTAATCTTTGGCAACTACTTCAGAAAAGCACTTGGAACATGATGCAAATTTATTTATATGGTCTGCAAAAAGAGATCAGTCTTACGACAATTGATTGTATTTCTCTTTCACACATTATAGTTTAATTTTTAGGGGCAATTTGAGAGTTACATTGTAGTCAACAATGATTTTCCTGTGCTGCTTTAATTTTGTCATGACAAGATTTTAATACCATGTAGAACACCCACTTCCTTATGGTTTTAAGCATAACTATGTGTTATATAATTTTTGTTTAATATTTTTGTATTATTTTTCAAAGAAATTAAACTTGATATATATTCATTTCTTAAAGGAGCACAAAGTTACCAGTAGTCTTAGTTTGGTTCAGTGGTTGCCAACCCAGCAAAAGATAATGACATTTATTCATTCTGCATAGCGTTTATATGTCCATTATGATTTTTAGTTCCCTGGTGTGTGATTTAAAATCCTGAGTAATATTCACGAAGAAAACAACACAGCAAATTAGATCAATTGCAACAATGGAACCAAAACATATCACTGGAAAGGTCTTCACCGTGATGAGACAGAATAATGAGATTTTTTTCTGCAAATATTAAAGTAGATAGCGATAGATTTGAGAAATAGGTAAACACTTTCCTGTTTGTTCTTTTCTCTTTTCCAAACTGTAATCCCTCATTTTGTATGTTATTTCTTAGGCAAACTTTATTTTTACCACCAGTTTCTATTACTTCTAGGTTCTCATCTGTTTCTCAATAATGTTTAGGAAAAATGATGAGCAGTGGACATCCATGTATCCTCTCCTCCACAGGAGAGATGCTCTCAGGAAGAAGAAAAAAGAGAGCCTTCAAACCCCTTTATAAACTCACTACAAAGAGACTATTTTGAAAATTAGTGGTATTTGTTTACTAGGGGATTCTTTGCTGTCTAATACTTTTAAAGGATGGACTTAGACTAACTAGCATTGCTAATTATAAACAAACTTGGAACCTATGCAATTATAGAGCATAATTTTCTTGAGAATATCACATAAGCTATGGAAGTACCTAAGTAAGAAATAAAGAGGTTTCCTGATGAAGTAGCTACCTTCTCTACAAATAATTACAGACTTATGTAGAGTTTCCTTATTTTCGTCTATGCCATGTGCATACTGATGAGGCACAATGGATTGCACAGGCGGTCCCAGACTCTTCCTGGCTTTGTCTATTCCCTATGCTCATTTGAGTAATTGAAGAATCAGTTATTTTTAATAATGAGTCACATCTCCAATTCTTGTAAATCTGATTTATTAATCGGCTTCTTTGCAACCTCTCAGCATTCTAAATGGAGCTTCCTTCCAGGATTCATGTCAGGTTATGTAGATAATTGCTATCTAAAAGAACAGATCATTATAAAAATTGACCACATGCTAACATGATAAATAAAATGGTTATTAATGCATTATTGTAGCACATATTATCATTCTGAAGACAGGGCTCTGGTTTAAAGATTTGACTCCAGTGAAAAACATTAAAGACTCTTGGACACCTCTAACACATTAGCTAGGGAACAGGTCTTTGGCTACACTTCAAATCACATTTATTGGAATAATCTGTGTATATTTGTTAGAAGAAAACTGAACTATAATTCACAGACACATATTTTAATAGCTTTTCTCCTTGTAAAAGAACCAGTTACCAACAGAATACAAAACAGAGGAAGAAAAAATTCTGCTTGGGAAAACTTTTATCAAAACTAGTAAAATTTATCATCATCATTCTTTAGTAAAATATGTGATAGGGATTTTCAGGAAGGGCTTAATAGTAATTTCCTAAAAGAATACACATTAATAAGAGTTCTGCCTACCTGTTTATGCAGGTATGAATAGACTTAAGAAAAGGAAAACACTCTCTTTCATACTAATTTTATCTTTTTGTTCTTATTTTCACTTGGATGTAAAAAGCTTTTATTGATAAAGTGAAGCAGTTCTACACTTAATTACGAATAATTTTTTCTACTTCAAGTTCACATAAAACGAAAGTCTATGAAATAAAATATGTTTCATGGAGACATTTCCTCATGAATATAATATTTCAGACAAGATTTCATGGGGCAAATATGTTTTCTTCTTTCACAGGTGTAAAAATTCTTTCAAGGAGAGCAGTTTCCTAACAAATGAAAATATTTTCACCTCCAACCAGCCTTGAAAATGTTACCCTTGGGAATAATGAACTTTACAGGGATGCTAGGCCCTTGTTCAAAACCCATTTTGTCAAAGGCTGATTAAAATATATCATTTTCCCATCTGTGAATTTTGCATTCTACTGCTTATGGCAACTCTTCCTTTTCTCCTCTAAGACAGAGATATTTCATCTTAATGATGATTATAGACTATTATTATCATCATGTGACTAAGAAGGTAATAAGAGGAAAGTTGTATTTGTTATTCAGAACTGATTCTCTGAACATATCAGTATGTGCTCAGAGTAGTCAAATGAAGAACCACTGGTGGCTGAGATTTATTTAAAACTTAGTTTAAATGTTCTTATATACTAAAACCTCATCCAACATGTTTGTTATTGGTTGGATTCATATAAACCACAAGTCAAACTATGGCCCTCAAAATATGTAATGATTATAAAATCAATGAAGTTCTTGAGACTTATGGCCTACAAAATAAATTCTTATTCAGTCTGTTTATATTAGCTATGTTAGATGCAAAAGTAATACTAATTGAACTAATTCTAGCTTTATAAAATTGAAACAATTACTTCATTTCTTTAATTGATAATAACATATAGCAACATTTGAACAGAAGTTCAAAAGTATATTACATTTCCTGTTAGGACAAGAGATTTTTTAATAATGTAATTGAAAAATATGCATAACACATTATAGAACAAAGTACAGATCAAAATTCACTCATAACTAATCTGAAATTCATGTTTGTATAAGCACACACAAGCAGCTACATGTGCACATGGACCTGTGTGCACTGTACAGCTGTGTAGGGTATATTCAATTTTGAGTCATAACAATATAATAACAAATACAAAAAAGTGAACAGCAATGACCATAATATGTAGCATGCTAAAACCTTTAACAGAAATGGAGCAAATTCAAATTATGCTCCATGCATGTAGGATTATGTCAAAACAAACCCCACTTTTACATATAACTACACTGCACTATTTTTTTTTAAAAATAAATAAGTTATTCATACTTTTAAAAACACCCTTTTATAAAGTTCAAAAAATAATTAATTGCATGCATTTCTAAAATTATTATTTATGAATACACAGACATGCAGTAAAGCTCCGTAAAACTGAATGATAAAACAGGAGTCTGAATGATAAATACCCCACTGCTAAGAGGCAGGAAAATAGACAGAGGCATGCACATGATAAGACAGAGGTTGGTCCAAGTCTTACTTAGCTTTTTTCTTTCTTTCTTTCTTTCTTTCTTTCTTTCTTTCTTTCTTTCTTT